AATTTTCTTATGCTTACGCATTATGCGTTGTGCAGAATAAGTGTGTGCTCCCCGCTTAAGTTTGTAATATTTCTTTACCTTTCCATGAGAATAACTCGGGGGAAGGACAGCAAGGAGGAAAACGTTATATAATCTTTACGTATTGTTTTGTCTGTTATGCGCCGCGTGAGATCACGAACGCGATTGCGATTGCGTTTCTCTTTTTTACGTTTAAACATTCAGCAATTATCGGACATTGCACGCTGCGCGCAATTATCGAGGGAGGTTATCGGGCATGTAATATTGCTTACGCTTACGATATCGCGCCGGCACACGTAAAATGCATATCGTCAATTACCGGATATCAATGCTTCGTAGATAACGGAATCAGACAAGATCGATCAGCGTGATAAGTATCTCTTTTTTTTCCGCGCTACTGCGAGTTCAACGTACTCGAGGACGGAGTCGCAAAAGCGAGGGACGTCGCAAAACTTTATCGTCCCCTTATCTCTTCAGATTCAAAGGCGGGTAATTTCAGAAATAATAATCGAGATCGCAGTCGTACGATTTCGACGCGCGCGCGATCGATCACACTTCGGATTCGAATTCAGATTGCACGCGTGTTTTTCTCGAGAGCGGCTGATATCGAAGTCGAATTTACGCACGATCGAAAGAGCCTTGTGTCCATTTTTGCGGGCGAATTATCGTCTCCGTGACACTTGGACTAGCACAGATTAAACGGGTTGACATTGATCTGATTGATATTAATAGCGTAATGCCAATCGGTGACAGCATCGGCCATTACAAGATGTTTAACCCACGCGTCCTCGCCGGCGGATCATCGCCGCATAGATCATCGCCGTTTTGCATTATGACAGCCTTTATCTCGCCGCGATAATTATTTCGTTGACATGTTTACATCGTTACCCGTTGGCCGTTCTTACGTCAATGCGCAAACGCAACATTCAATGAATATACATGAACGCCGGTGCATTTTTGCCCCTTTCGATACCAGCGTCGAATGGATTTCTCCATTGACAGTATCTGGTGCGCGACAGTATCATTATTTCCTTTCATAATAAATATTCTATCGCAGTTGTACAAATACACATTTTCATTCGAACGTTATATTTAATTTAAAAGAAAGAGAAAACAGATAGATTAGCTAAATTTAATTAAAAATTGATTAATAAAGCAATCGCTCTAAAATTCAATTATGTGTTAAATGATATAATATACAATATGTATATAAATATTTCTACAAAATAAATAATTATTTAGAAAAATATATTATACAACACACATATGTATATAAGAAAATATAATAATTAAATAGCCATATTGGGACTTTTCTTCCACTTCTTCTTATTGCGTTATAAAATGTTTTTTTTTTTTTAGACTTTATCAGTTGATTCAAGATAAAAAATTATATCAAATGAGATGCGCCGAAAGGACTAATTCTTATCAGAGAAAAAAAAAATATTCTCGATTTGAAAATATTTTTGGTTTCAACATGGAAATCTTAAAATGAGATTAAACTTGCTTGAAGAAAACTTGCTTGAATAAAGTTATTATATAGTTCAACCAAAAAAAAAATGTTGAAATAAAAAGTTAAAATTCTTATAAGAAGATATAGATTGTTTCGTACACAAGCAAGATCACTGTAATCTTCTTATAAGAATTTCAACTTTTTATTTCAACATTTTTTCTTGGTTAAACTATATAATAACTTCCTTCAAGCAACTTTTCTTCGTTTAACGCAATATAATCTCATTTCAAGATTTCCACGCGTTGAAACTAAAAATATTTTCAAATCAAGAATATTCTTTTTCTCTGTGTACTGACTTACTACGATTGTTCTCGCGGGTATTGCCAGCTTTGTAACAACGTGCTGTTAAGAAAAAAGGCGATTAACGATCTAACGCGCGTATATTCACGCAGAAACAATAATATTGACCGATGTAATTGGTATGTGCGTCGTACGCGCGGGACCAAACTGGGTCAGCGAGATGCATCCACGAGGCCGATGACCGTCCTTGTGTATCGGAGGCCTGCCTCTGATCGATCGATCGTTAGATCGATCTTTTCCTGGCCTCTACGTCATTTAATCGCCCGATCCGACTAGTTCGCGCGATTCCTCGACTATTGTTTATACCACGATAAGAGATTGGACTCGGTTGGACGTGTGGCGGGAGAGAAAGGAGGGTCTGGTAAACGCATCACAGAGGACTTCTTTACCTTTGCAAACGTCGAGGAGTTTCGAGCGAACAACTTACGTTACCACATTAGCAGATATCTTTGGCTCGTTACGTTCGTTATTACGTTAGAATCGATCAGACATTGAGCTATCGATTGCCGATAAGGTGCAATATGCATAAGTACGTTATCGCTATCGCTATCGCTTGGAAATTTATTTTTAAAAGCACGCGCTATCGTTCATTTTTCTTTAGCCCAGTCAATCAACCCGTTTCCGCCGCGTGAATTCCGGTCTATCAGTCGATTCTACGTACCGGCGCGATTATCTACTTCCGCAGTTAACGCACTCGCGACATTGACGTTGTTTACCGTCACGGCGTGATCGCGGTTCCAAGGTACCACCTTGAAATCCCATTTCGCACAGCATAACTCACACGTTGGTGCGCGCAGAGATGACTAATAATATAAATCATAGAGCACAACGCGCGAGTTCTCGGCGCGCGGCTGGATTAGTTCATCGCCATCCTCCTAGAATTGAACGTGACTTTGATCAACTGCGCTGCTTGACCCTCGCCGAGTATATTTCATCATGGAATTTGATCAATCACACGCAATTTCCTTTCTCAGACGCAAAATTCTCCTCAAGTCTGCCTGCTTCGCTTGTCATTAGAGAAGAAAGGAAGTACACAAAAATTAAGGCCACGATCGATGAATTTCAACTCCGAAATTACACATTTCTGGAAAAAAAAAAGCGAAAAATGCTAATGCGATAACAATTCACCTTGTCAATATAGAAGAAAACTTTTTTTGAAGTTTTGTAATGAAAAACCTCCTTAAGTCTGCCTGCCTCGCTCGTTAAGGAAAAAAAGTCACAATCGATGAATCTTAATTCTGAAATTAATTATATATTAATTCTGGGAAGAAAGAGCGAAAAAAACTAATAACTGCTATAATCATTCACCTCGTCAATTTAGAAATTTTTTTAAAAAGTTTTACAATAAAAAGATTAAAGTAAAAACTGTATTTTTTAATGATTTTAAATTCACATTTGCGTCACAATACTTAATATATTGCAATAAATCACAAGAAGGACGGTTCATGTCCGCAACTAAGGACAGAGCATTTGAGAAGCGACTATAAAAATTATTTATATATACCGTTTGCGTTAATCGATATCAGGCCTCAACGATCATTATTCTCTGATTAGGTCCGCGATAATGATTCCGGATATAAAGGTAATGCGAAAAAAATGATGGCTGATTGTGGCGTGGATTGAGGACAGAAGAACGCCTTGACGCATCGACTATACCTGCACGTCTGTTTTAACCGGTTTTGGAATGTGTTTATTATAAAACGGAGCTCAGAGGGGAAGGGCGCAATTGTTAAATGTCAAAGCCGGAATGCCATAAATGTCCGGAAAAAAATAATGAGATGCATCAATAACAGATTCGTCGTAACAAACTTCGCAAAGCGGTATTATACCCCTTTACTCATGGAAACTTTAGATTAGATATCGCGATCTCAATCCCGTGTTTTTATACAGCACTTTTGTGGAACGTCCCCCGAAAATTCTGGGGAATAAAATATAGTCCACTGCGTATAACAATAGGCTTGTTCGTTTTAACTGAACTTCTTGCACAGTTCATCTTTCCTCTTTTTCTTTCCAACGTAAAAAGAAAAAAAGCAAAGATGAACCGTGCAAGAAGTTCAGCTAAAACGAACAGGCCTTAATAACTCGAATCTTCATTCGAGAGCCGAAAATGCCCTCGCGCATTGAAATTTAGGCTGTTCTTCCGAAAATCGTCCATGCTCCGATTTAGGTGAAACTTTGTGAATAGGTTTCTTTCAAATAAAAAAGACATATACCAAACGGATTTTTTGCGACTCCAAAGTTTAGCAACTTTTTTAACATTTTTAACTTGCTGTTTCCGCGCATATACACTATGCGAAACGAGGTGCCACATGGGTTTACAACTTTCCACGCGTGGAAAGCCCACGCGTGTACTTTGAAGGCACACTATGTGTCTAGTTTAACAATAGTGGAGCCCCCCCGCGGGGGCGGAACCTATTGCCTCCACGCATACTGCACTTTTCACGCGAGACGAGTTGTCACATAGGTTTACAACGTTTCTGATTTTCTAAAGTTTCGCCAATAATGTTTATGTTATGACTTTGACGGGTATGACTTTATGGTAGTTTACATTACTTGAGAGCTGTTTTGGTTTGTAATGATACTGAGTTAGTTCGCTCACAACAAGAGCTGTGTGCAAACGTGTTTTCTCAGATAAGGATTTAAAATGACTGTACAATAATTCATAGGACATAAAAAAAAGATGTGAAAAAATATTTAAAAAGTTAGTGCTAAACTTTGGAGTCGCAAAAAATCCTTTTGGTATATATGTCTTTTTTATCTAAAAGGAACCTATTGACAAAGTTTGACCTAAATCTGAGCATGGACGTTTTCGGAAGTTTCGCCGAAATTTATTTTTTAAACGGAGATTCAATGTTCTTTGTTCCAGTGTACGACGCCTCGGTTAAATTCCCGTCAGGCATAATCACCGGCAATTACAAACAGCTGGGTAATTTTGACGAATGCTTACAAGTGAAGACCAAACACGGGTTCGTCGGGCAAGCTTGCAACGCAGCGGTGCAGTTCGAGATCTTCGAAGACAACAAGACGCGACGTGAATTGGACATGGGGGACCTGCTTACGAATGTCGCTATCGCGTCGGTGAGTTCACAATTATTGCATTATTGCAATTATCGTGTCGAGCGTACAACAGTATACAGTAAGCGAACATAAGTTCAATCCGGCTTATATATATCGTCTGAGCTTGTAAAATGTAAATAAATTGAAGTATACGAAAGATATATAAGTAAGAATAAGAATTAATATTGCTTCTAATAAAACCCATATGGACATTTTTAATTTAAAAAATAGTATAATCTAAATAATATTTAAAATAATATATATATTTAATCTAAATAATTTTATTTATTCATGGACATTAATACGATACTATAATATACATGAATAAAATGGAACTTTATTTACTCAATAAATTTCGTAAAAGACGATAGCGCCATATAGTTTCCGAAGTATTTTTAAACAATAAAACGCTCATAAGAGCGAGTTTATGCTGCTTCGGGGACTAACGTAAGTATCTTATGGCGTAGAATGCGACGAAATGGACTTCCGGCGAATCGACCCAATACGAGTGGATGTTTTGCGTTCCGTCCACCTGCAATCATACGGAGATACAGGAGGCTCTCGAGATCACGCTCGACCCATTGAAAGTCGAAGGGCGTGTAGACATGACTATCACCGTTTCTAAGGAATCATGCTATACCATTGAGACCGTTCAGACAACGTGGAACATTGGGGATTGGTGTTACACGTAATGAAGCTCTCTATAATTATCGTATAAACATTTATCTCTCTGCAGTAATATGGTTAATTTGTATAACGTTCGAAAACTTCAGATCGATTCTTGTGCTGTTCGCATTGATCATCATAGCCAGCACGGGATACGATATTGCGATGCAACGGCGTGCTAGCGCGTCGGAAGGTAGGATATAAAAATATAAAAGCATGTTTATCCTTTAGATTTAGTCCTTTCAATATTTTTCTCACATTTGATGCGACAAAGTTGGTAAATTTAAGTCAATGTAGTTGATTACTGAGTTTTACGAAATCAATCTTGGAAATTAAAATTATATCTATTGAATATTGAGAAAGAAAAGAAGCTGAGACTAATTTTAAGATTAAATTAATGTTAATTATTGATTATTAGTAAGATTGCTTTATACATACACTATAATATACGCTATACGATGTCTAATATTGATGTGTAATGTTAATCTGGATATTGCGGTTTTTTTTTCTTTAATAAGGGCAATGTCATCCGGGGAGCCGGAACTAATAGAGATAATGATCCTGATAATTTCTCGCGCAGGTATTTTTGCGGCGTTTTCTTTGTACAAGAATGGAAAAGAGCTGTTGAAAACTGAGAGACATCCGGGATCTATTCGCTGCCTAGACGGCTTGCGCTTCGTCAGCATATGCTGGATCATTTACGGTCATACCTATTACATGAAGGTCGTTGATGTCAATATGAACCTCACGCAGATTCCACGTGTGAGCTATACAATTTTAATTTTTATACAATTTCACATGAAAATTGACTGAGAATACACTACGTGTCCCTATTTTCGCAACTTATGTTATCGAATTTATCTTTCGCGTTATAAATACAGTAAAAAGTCACACATTGTTCTCTGTTAAATCTCAAAATTCTGCGCCTTAATCGTCTCAATTGTGAAAAATCATTCTTATCCTAAAAAAGATGCACCACGATTGGAACAACATGCTGGTGCTTAACGGCAACATCGTCACAGATACCTTCTTCCTTCTGAGCGGGCTCCTACTCGCTTACAACGAACTGTTGAAGAAGGAACGAGCCTTAGAGTGGCGTTTCGACGTGATAGGACTTTATCTTCATCGTTATGTAAGGTACGTATATGTATACGCAACCGAAATCACCCCGGTAATTTAAGTTTCCAACATGTTCCCCCCCCCCCCATTACGTCAACAAATTATATTCGTCGGTCTCATACGCACCGTGCTGTTTAAAAAAATCATATAATTTGTAATTTTTATTTTCTCTTTATAATAATATCGTTTGATCTCCCCTCTTTTCTTTCTTTTTTTTTTTATCTCTTCGAACCACTGATCGTTTCTCCTTTTGTCAGATTAACGCCGGCCTACGCGATGATGATCGGTTTTTATGCCACTCTGTTCTACAAATTCGGTACAGGCCCGCATTGGGACACCTGGGTCGGTACTAACCAAAACTTCTGTCGCGAGAATTGGTGGACCAACTTGCTCTACGTTAACAACTATGTCAACGTAGCGAACATGGTAGACCAGCTCTTTAAATTACTCTTTTACGTATACCCTTGTATATTTTTGCGTATTACTTGCCATATTAAATTGCTCATTTGCTGCAACAATGACATAACTCAAAAAACAAAGTTTTCCAGAAAAATGAGTTATCTTGAAGGTCTTGAATCATTCGAATTTTGTAATATCATTTTTAAATACGATTTTGGCGTAACTGATTGTAGAAAAATAAAAGTTTAGCTCTTTATTCGATATATTGAACGTTCATTATTCTTTTACAAACAACTAAAAAATGGCAAGTTTTGAGTTATGTCGTAGCAAATGAGCGAAATATGTACAGCAATCGTGTGTTTGAACGTGTAGTTAACAATTATTTTGTACGTAGTGCAAACGGTAGTCTATATATACGAATGCTGCACATATTTTTTTATTGTAATATTCTTTTTTTTATTTCTCTTTAATTTGGATTTATTGAGTGCTGTTTCGCGCTTTCAAAATTTTTCTGATTCGCGTACTTACACGAAAATATTACTCTTTTCTTACGTTTGCTTCTAGTGCATGTCCCAATCCTGGTACCTATCGACCGATATGCAGTTTGTTTGGCTGTCGCCGCTTGTACTGTATCCTATGCTCAAGTTTAGAAGTCTGTTCTTCACCATTGTTTTGACCGTCTGTTTATTTCTTTCGGTCCTCGTGCCCTTTGTTATAACTTATTATTTCGAACTAACGGGCACCATGCTCTATTACAAGAGGTAAGTGTAGAATTTCAACTGCGCTTTCGCTTAGAAAATATTTCATTAACACATTTTTAATTTGAACATTTTAAAAAATCTCTCAAAAATCTAAATGTAATAGGCTTATTTAATTTGATTGAGTTTTATATTACGTTTTTTTCTATTAACTAATTTTAATTAGTTTTTTTTATTTAGTTTAGCATTTAAATATTTATTATTGCGGTCTCTTAATATAGATCCACTCTGTGGGACCTTTTATATCACGCGAGACTTCGAGAATTAATTATCAAGCAACTATGAAAGATCGTGCAAGATTACCTCGTTTTAAGTGATGTTTATTTCTACGGAGATGGAAATTGCAAGGAAATTGTACGAAATTTCTTGATTGCCGGATTTTAGTAATTTCGTGATCTCAACAGGATGTTGTATTTCGTAGGGAGGAGGACGTAATCCAGGTTTATCTGAAGATCTATATAAAGACATACAATAGATTTGGGCCTTACGTCATTGGATTAGGCCTTGGATACTTGTTATATAAGACGCGATCTTGCAAAGTCAAGTTATATACTGTAAGTACGATTTACACAATTATGTTCAGTACTCTCATGTTTGTTTTATTTCATTATTTATTAATTGTCTTCTATATGACATCTAATTGCAGAACTAATATTTATATCTTATATAATAATCGAGGTTAAGCGGATTAAAGTTAAAATATTTTCCATAAGAAGCCTGAAATATTTTTTTCTATAACTTATATGTATTTTATATTAATATTTTTATAAATAAGACGCATATTTAGATATCTTAAATTTGAAGAAATCATAAAATAAACCGTGGGTTGTAAAGTCGCTAAAAAAAAATGCCTTTATAAATCACAGTGGTGCGTGATTCTCGGCTGGCTGATCGCGATTATGGCCGGCCTCTCGGTGATTTTCGGACCGCGAGGCATGTACTTCGACACTCACGTGTACAACAGGCTGGAGGCAAGCTTCTACGCCGGTTTCCATCGTCAGGTCTTTGTACTCGCGGTCTCCTGGATAATCTTCTGCTGCATAAATGGATACGCAGGTGATGATTGCGCGCGTTCGCGAGATAATTACTAAACCGGATTACGTCAACGCCAGTCTCTAAAAGTCATAATCGTTTCAAGGTCCCATCAATTATTTACTTTCTTGGCATGGATGGATTCCGTTCAGCAAATTGACCTACTGCGCTTATCTCTCTCATTATCTGGTCATACTATCACACGTCGGAGCCGTTCGAACACCCGGCAATTTAACACAGATGAATATGGTGAGTAAAAAAGAGTGGAAACATTTTTAAAATATTGCGTCAAAGATAATAAAAACAGACGCCTCGGTGATTAACTGGTTAAGCAATATCACTAAATCATAAAAATAAAAATGTTATCTCTTCGTGCAAAAAAATTTGATATTTAACTAACGACGTAATTAACGATATTTATTTTATTTAGTTCTACAGTGAAACTATGTGCAAATTTTTAAGTCTACTATTATGTTGTGTATATTGCATCGCTGCATTTTGTTTTAAATAGATTTTATATAAATATATGTATACATAGTAGACTTAAAAATTTGCACATAATTTAATTACGAGACGCTCATGTAATCATCAATATAACAAATATTGATGATTACATGAGCGTCTCGTAATTAAATTAAAGCGCAAGTGTAATTAAGAAAAAGGACAGCAATAAAATCTCTTTATTTTTATCAGATACGCGATTTCATCGCCAATTTAGTACTGACGATGATGATATCTGTGCTGTGGAGGCTGTGCTTCGAGACGCCCTTCATGACCCTCGATAGGATCGTTCTTGCTAAACGCAAGGAAAACTTGTCGAAGCACTTGGAGACTTACGACTCCACGTCGTCCGGAGAAATCAAAGAGATTTCCCAGTCAAAGGAATCGTCGCTCACGTACGACAACCCTGGAGAACGCGACGTTACCCACTACGATCTTATGAGAATTAAGGGAAGTAAAGAAAATTGCGCGAATGGCGTAGAATACATCAACGACGATGCGGAAACAAGTCTCGGTAAAATATACTTTATCAATCCTGTCAAACGCGACGAGACATGGTCGCAGCATGAATCAACAGTAAATTCCGATAACACAAGGTCCCATTACGTCAACGTCGATCTTTGCCGCATTTTTAACGAAGGACGACCGAGAGCATGTTCGAATGGGAAAGAATTAGAGTCGATCAACAGCGATCCTGCTCACAGAGCGAAAGCAAATCAGTGCCTGAGGGATAGTGGTTAAAAGACCGATTGTATTTAATCTAGTCTAGTTATTAATAATAACAACACTATTTATAATTATTATGTAAATAGTCGTTGTGTGAGATAAATTTGCAGGATGATGGATTTGAATCCATTTTCAACAAGAGAGAAATAGAATAAGAGTAAGAGTGATATAATAATCGAGATTTTATACGAAAGAACAAGTAGACAAAGGAGCGAGATATTTTGTTTACACGTATAATATATAGTACAGTCTACAATAAACTAGAAATATCGACAGATACATATTAATTTGCGAAAATGTTCGCCAGACAGAGAATTAAAAGCGCAACTATATTTTTAGATAATAATATATAAGAGAATTATTTTTTTATTTAATCAATTTTTTATTTTTTTGATAGTGATTATTGTGATAAAGCGAGATGTGTTATTATTAATAAATATACATTAGATTATGCGTACTATAGAAAAGGTTCGTGCAAAGAGAATATGTATAATTATACAAAGCGTTACCGATTTATCGGTGCGAATTGCAGTATTAATCGAGAGAGTTAAAATTAAAGAATATATTTTATTTCACATCAAAAAAATAATTTATGATTTATTTATAACAATATAGATTTATTTTGTTTTAAATTATAAATTATATTTATAAAAAACAAGCTTACATTCCTCTATTTTCTCTCTAACTCTGTCACGAGCTTCTTATTCCTTATCACGGAATTATTTTGGTGATAAGGTAATTATACTTTTAAAAGGCACAACAATCTTAAGAAGATATTACTTCTTCGTTTATCTCGCACGTATATTGTTTGCTTAAATGAAAAATGTTGATTGCTATAATTATTTGCTAATAAGAGTACAAATTTCAGTGTCTTTATGAAACCTGTTTCAGAGAACCTGTTTCGAATTGACGAATCGCCAGCGAATCGAACAATTCTGAAGTTATTGGTAATGATCGAAAGATCATTACCAATAACCCGTGTCGTTGTTTATTTAGGCCTACTCACATTTCTCTTCGTTCACACGTATTGTATCCTTTGAGAGAGCGAGCGACTCGTCCGAACGGATTCGAGCGCGGTTCAACGGCTCTGAAAGTATAAGCCGAGAAAACAATGCGGAGTCTGTGCGGGATCTATGGAAGTAATCGATACCGCGACTCAATCGAGATGAGACGAAGAGAAGAAGAAAACTTGTCTTTTATACACTTATCTCTGCCGTTCGACGTGAGAACAGTCTTAGAAACTAACGGATAAAATCGCGATTGTGATCACAAAGGAGAAAACAGCTGTAGTGTAAATTTGATGGCATCATTAGTGGGCGAAGAGTTGACATAAGCGCAACCGTAACGCATGCGAAAGACACCCCGGGGACGCATTTTGCTACCGTGGGAAAGAGAAGTGTGAATTTTCCGAAAACATTCAATACAGTTTAATTCAATTTAACAAAAGTGCACAAAAGTTCCTTGTAGTTTAGCGTCGATTAATAAAATTTTATCTAAAAATCTGTTTTTTTCTTTGCAAAAGCAAAAAAATTATAAGTTTAAAATATGACATCACACTTTAAAGAAATCTAATAAACTTATTCCTTTTTAGTTGAAAATTAATCGATTTTAGAAATTATGCTAATAATATTAATATAAATTATATAAACAATATGGACAATATGTTAAGTTATCGAAAATAAAATCTGATTAATCTGATTCATTTTGTTCACTATCTCT